CTCCTCCTGCCTGAAGGCCAAGTCCGCATCAGCGCACGTTCCCGATCATGGATGGTGGCCCTTTACAGCCCGGCCTCAGCTTACCTGCTCGGCCTCCTCAGAAATTCTCAGGAAGCCCTCCTGGCCTCAGACCACATCTGATTCCTGGATGTTCCCAGAATTCCTCAGGCAGGTTGCAAAGTCTCCATACCTCGAGTTCCATTCCCACTGCCTTGATGCCTTCTCACCTGGACCTTTCCTGCATCTTTCCAGGCCAGGTTAGCGCTCACTGCCCTTGTGGCCCTCTGTGTCCACTGCTCTCCCTGCCTCTCACCCCTGCCCCACACTGCTCCCCCAAGCCCAGCAGCCTCCAGCATCTCCATCATGTTGGTCCACGGTGCTCTCAGCTGGCAGGAATGGACCAAATCATCATGATTTGCTTCCATGAGGCCTCCCCTCCAGGACTGTACCAAGGAGAGGGACCTGGTCTTGTTCATCTCAGTGCCCACCCAACGCTGGCACTCAGTCAGCGGCTGCGGAATTGAAACATCTAGGCAGTGAGGGTAGGAATATTTTCACCTGCAGACCCGGAGAACTTCCCCCAGAATTGGGAGGACAGAAACACCAACTATGGCTGCAGCCTCCCCTCTGACTAATTTTCATCCAACTCCCAGTATAAATAGCTTCCTTTCCCCATATCAGAAAACATCTGCTCCCACTAGCTGCCCAGTCCTGTACCAGCACTATAAATATCCTGGCGGGATCTAGCCTCCCTTGGCACAGGGGACCAGGAGAACTTGGAAAGAGTGAACAACAAGCGAGATGAGGGCAGTGGGAGTGGAGAAGCAGAAATTGCCCAATCTCCCCCTTCTTGCACCTCCAGGCACAGGCTGACATGCTTTCCACATGGGCTGGAAACCCCCACAGTATTCCTGGGAATTCGGCAGACACAGATAAACGTCAGCTACTCCTGGTCTGGTGGTTTTCAGCACACTGTCTGGTGCAAAGACTCTCACCCGCTGAGGCCGAGACGTAGCTTGGAACTCAATTTGATGCAAACCTCCCAATTCCAGCAGGATTCTTGCATGACGGGAAGTGACACGGCTTTGAAAGGAGTTGCTTTTCATGCACATTTAAAAAGGAATCATGTAATTCTATGCTCCTGGAAGCTACTTTTTATACTTAATAAACTGAAGACCTATATTCCACTTAGTACTGTGCTCTAGAACCTACACAGATTTCCAAGGAGGGAAAAAGGAGTTTAGTGTTTGGGAGAAAGGGACCTGGGAGATATTCAGGTTCCATCGGAAAACACCAACCACAGGCATCACACGCCATGTTTGTGAAACCGGGGTGTGGCACAGACGGGGTTTGTGGGTGCACCAAAGTGAACCCTCTTCTTTACTCCCCAGGGCCTGTTCAACAATATGGGGAGGGGGGGCCGATTTCTCCTTAGTCCTCCGGTGAAATCTCTGGCAGCTGTGTGACCTTCCAGCGCTATTGGATAAGAAGTCCTCTGGTCACTTCAAATCTACANATAGAAATTGACAAACCAATTCTAAAGTTAAATGGAAATGCAAAAAATATAGAATAGCCAAAACAACTTTGAAAATGAAGAGCAAAGGAGGTCTCACACTCTCTGATTTCAAGACTTAATAAAGCTGCAGTAATCAAGACATTGTGGTATTGGCGTAAAGACAGACAAATAGATCAATAGGACAGACTAGAGAGCCCAGAAATAGACCTACACAAATATGGACAACAGATTTTCAACAAAAGTTCAAAGGCAATTCAGTGGAAAAAGGACAGTCATTTCAACAAATGTTCTGGAATGACTGAATATCCATATGCAAAAAACAAAAAAACCCACCAAAACCCCAAACCAAAAAACCTTGATCCATAACTTGCATCATATAAAACTTAAAAAAAAATACTTTAGAAGGAAACACAGGAGAAAATCTTGTAACCTTGTGTTAGGCCAAAATTTCTTAGATATGGCACCAAAAGCAAAGTCCATAAAAAAACAAATTGATATAAATTGGACTTAATCCAAATGAAAAACTTCTGGTTTGTTTTTTTTAAAGACATTGTTAAGAGACAGAAGACAAGCCACAGAATGCCATAAAATAGTTACAAATCATGTATCTGATAAAGGAGTTGTAGTAAAAAAATATAAAGAACTCTGAAAACAACCCACTTAAAAATGGGGCAAATATTTGAACAAACAGGTGCTTATTTTGTTTAATAAGCTTATGTATTCCTTTTTGGATGGCCAATAAGCATATGAGAAAATGCTAAAATCATTAGTCATTAGGGAAATGCAAATTGAAACCACAATGAGGTGTCATTACACACCTNCTAGTGCCACAGTTACACCCAGAGGAGAGAAGGTTGGCAGCTGGAGGAGCCTGTGTGCACTAGGCTACCAGCAGCTTGGTTGGTCACCTCATGGTCGTCAATGGCTGTAGCAGCTCCAGGAATCATGCCCACCATCAGGGCAGCAAGGAAGGGATAAGGCATCAGCAGTCCTGTCTCTGTCTCTTATAGAAGAAAAGCAAAACCTCTTCCAGAGAGAGCTCCAGAAGGGATCCACGCATGTGTCCTTGGGTAGAACCAGGCCAGGCACAGTTGGCCTTTCCAGCATGAGTGGAGATGGGCAAGGCAGGAGCAGGTGGGAATGTCAATGTGTTAGTCACAAGGCCAGACAGTTAGTGCCGGTCTCACAGAGCAGCCCACCTCAACCAAGATGGTGGCTATGCTCAGGAAAACCTTTCCTGTCCTCCTCCTCCACCTTCTCCTCCTCTTAATTATCAAATAGTAATGGGCTCTTATGAATGATGCTGTGTAGATAAGACACTACATATAGGCAAAGTGGGTTCTGTTCTTGGGGGGCTCATCCTGATTTTTATGTAGTCCCCACACTACCAAACATATCAACGTTACACTTTTTACTCTTACTGTCAATGTTAATAAGTTGCGGTGGTATTTCAACCTTGGCTCAAGAAAATTCAGGTGTTATAAAGTGACCTGGATGTATTGGGATGGACTTGAAGGCATGAAAATGTGTATCAGACCATTAGGACTGAAGAAGGGGGTACTTTGCAACACCTGACAAAAATTGGAATAGCCTTAATATCTGTTTTTCATGTATGGAAAGTTTAGTTTGTAACTGGTTCTATGTAGACCTTTCTAGATAGAATCACTATATAGGCTGTAGGTAGTTGAATTTCTGGTCTAAAATTAGTTTTTCAGTTAGATTTCTGAAAGGAATCAAATGATTTCCTGAAAGTAGGCTGGTTATACTTTCAGGCTAGTTCAGTGCTTTTAGTGTAAGTTTGTTGCTTCAGTTCCCTAAATCTCATCCTTCAAAGGAACCAGACCCAGAGATGGTAGAGACACTTCAGTAGCAGGAAAAATCTGGTTGATACTGTGATGAGAGCCTTTTAAAAGCTATTGATAATGACAGTATTAGGTTTGGGAGGAGGCGTCCTCCCCACTTAAATCAGAACAAGCAAGCAGATACAAGAGTCTGAGAAAAAGGAGACTCGGATGGTAGCATCATATTTTTTATACAGCTGTTTGTAGGACATGGCTGAGGTCTGTGGGCGGGTGGGCTTGCTAACGCTGAGTTGGACGTGCTGATTTACCCTGTCTGGTTGAGAGCTGGCCAGATGACCGGTGTGTTCTCTGAAGCCAGGCCATTCCAGAAGGGAGGGGGATGGGAGGATGCTCTGAGCATGCCCAGTTCCTCTCCACCGCCCCATTGGGAAAGTGGCTCCTCCCCCTTGGGAGAGGAATGGATGAAAAGAAGAAGTGGTAAGGGGGACGGGGAGAGGCAAGGAGCGTTCCTCTAGGGAATTCCCTTCGCATGGCAACCTGAGGGGCTGGGAATGAGTGTCCGCCTCTTCCCCACATTTATAGATGTAAAACATTACAAACGTAAGCCAGCACATTATGCTCTTATCTGTGTTAGAACAAATGGCTGAGATTCTAGACTCTTCTATTCTTTTTATGGATCTCCTCCCACTGACTTATTGTCAGGTTCCCTCTATGCCTCAGTTTACTTATTACAACCAGAAGGATAATAATAACCTTCATATTAATAGTTGTTCTATTTAAGCCAAATATTGCTTTTATCTTATCATAGATTTTGTGATAATATTAGTGATTAATAAATGATATCATTCCATTAAAAAAACTCTGGCTTGTTAAACACATGGAAACATGGCTACATCCAGACGATGAAATATTATTTAGCACACAAATGAAATGAGCTGTCAAGCAAGCCATGCAAAGACATGGAGGAAACTTAAATGCATATGACTAAATGAAAGAAGCCCATCTGAAAAGGCTACATACTGTATGATTTCAACTGTATGACATTCTAGAAAAGGCAAAACTGTGGAGATGGTAAAAAGACCTGTGGTTACCAGAGGCATGGGGGGTGGGGAAGGGATGAAAAGGGAGAGGATTTTTAGGGAGTGAAACTACTTTTTGTCTGATACTTGCAGTGGTAGATACATGTCATTATACATTTGCCCAAATCCATAGAATGTCCAACACCATGAGTGAACCCTAATGTGACATATGGACTTTGGTTGATGTGACGTGTCAATACAGGTTCATCATCTGTAACAAATGTACGATCTGGTGGGGGATGCTCATAGTGGGGGAGGCTGTGCCTGTGGGGGTACAGAGGGTACATGGGAAATCTCTGTGCTTTCCACTCAGTTTTGCTCTGAACCTAAAACTGCTCTAAAAAATAAAGTCTAGCAAAAAAAAAAAAGTATGAAAATGGTTATTAGAGAGGCCCAGGTATATTTATCCTCAGAAGTCTAGCCCGTTTCATTCCCAAAGTCCGCCTACAAATTCTTCCTCTGTATTTGAAATGAATGTGGTGTCAGGCGAAGGGAGAACAGCATCAATAATCTTCCAGTGAAGACATTTGCTCGGGCAGCGCCAACGTCTCCTGCTCCATCTCTGTCCAGGCCACCGTGGGGTTCCCTGTGCTCGCCCTGCACGCAGAGAACATTGCCAGGTCAGCAGTATACACTGTCCCTGAAACACAAGGAGTATTATTTAGTCTAGAAACTCTCAAAGGAAATATCCGCTTGCACGTGAAAAATCTCTGGAATTTCTCTGTTCCTCTCTGTCCAATGTCCCCGTAACTGTAAAGCTGCCTTGAGAAGCTTCTATACACAAGTGTGGCCTTGTTCCGGGCTGGCTACCTCAGACTCTGCTCCTGTACATGGCTGTCCCTGCCACTGTCATTCCGAGCTGCTCCTGTCCCTCTGATGCTGGCTGTGCCGGGAGGAAGAAGAGGAGGAGGGAGGGGAGAAAGACCCTTGGAAGATCAGAAGTGAACAGTTTTACTCCATTGGGGAAACATAGGAACCCCCCAGTCCTTGACTATCTGAGCCTCCCCGCTTCTCACTCCATAATAAGGGAGATTTTGAGTCTAGCTGATAATAAAAACCATGAGCTGAGTTCCTAACACAAGTCTCGTTCTCCATCTCTTCCTTAGATTGCTTTTGCTGCATATCCCTCCAACCCTTCCATTTCCAGCCTTTCTCATCCCCTTTCTAAATTCTCTTTCTTCCTCTCTTGAGGCCCTGCACCCCACCCCCCACTCCCCCACCCCGACCCCTGCCATTGTCCCTTCCCAGAGGCAAGTGATGTTGACAGACCTGGAGCTTATTTAGATTAGGCATCCTGGGACCCCAGGGAGGTCCCAGGGCCTTACCAGAACAGGCTGTGAAGGCATCAACTATTGAGTGTCTGCCTTCTCCTTCTCTTTAACCTAAAGACGGGGAAACACTTTCTTCCCCATCTCCTGGGCCCTCTCTACCCCTCACCCCCCAGCACTGTTCCTAGGGCTGTCTTGTCTCCATCTGAACCCAGTTTCAGCAGCAAAGGTAAAAAGTCCACAACTTCCCAGCTCCTTTTATAAATAAATAGCTTTCTTTCCATGCCAGCAGGTTGAGTGGAACCAGACTAACGCGGAAAAGGGGCCGTGGAAAGAGGGTACCCTTTGGAAAACAAGAAATATTCAAGCACCAGGTGTGAACGTTTTAAATAGAAACCTGCTTATATTGCACTTGGAATAACAACAGCCGGCACTTGGAGGTCCCGGGTCTTTTCAGAAGACTAACATTTAACTTCCAGACAGTTCCGGGACAGTCTTAACATCACATGAACCCACTGTAGCAAATGCTACAGCTCGGCGGCCCCTTCTGTCCGTGCATCTCAAATTCTGAGTTTAGGAGTTTATTTTCTGAGTTAGATGCTAAGCCTCTCGCATTCCAACGCACACACAATGACTCTGTTTTTCAAAATGCACTCATACATGGGAATTTTATGACATCAAACCCTTAAAAATGTGGAAACTTCGGTTTCAAAATACTTAATGGGGGAAAATAATAAACCTCTTGATTCGCAATTTCTGTGCTTATGGTTCATTTCTGAAACGGTGACTGGCACATGCTGACGAGACTGGGCTTCGGAGGCATAATCAAGTATTCATATATGCCCAGGCTTGGCGCGGCAGCCTGCGCTCTGATCTGAAAATATTTTCCCTTCAGACAGGAACAGAGAGGTTACTTTTGGGTCACTCCCAGCCTCACAAAAGGCTTTTCAAATGAGATGAAAGAAAAGAAGTTCTGATTTGTTGGGAGAAACCAGTAAAATTTCAAATTATAAAGATGTAAGCTTTGGGGGACAGCCTATCTGTGGGGTGGGAGGTTGGGGAGCACCCACAGCAGGCTGAGAAATACAGGGTTCCAGTTGGGGGGAGAAGGCGATGGAGGCCCCTGCTTCCTCCAGGTGTCCCTTACGCAGACTTTCCAGTCAGGCTGTTGGCGGCAGGCGGCCGTCCCCTTTCCCGTGGCTTGGGCATCAGCTTTCCAGCTCCCTCCGGAAAGCCTGGGTAATGGCCGTCTGCCTGCCTGCAGCTGCCTCGCCCACAGCTCCACCAGTTAAACAGCTCTGTTCACAACCAGGGGAGAGTGACACCATTTCAGATGCATGTCCTCCTTGGAGCTCATAAAATGCCAGGACCATTTGGCTCTGGCGGAGCGAACACCTGCGTTCCGAAATCAGAGAAGGCTCTGTCTTTCCTCTAGAGTAACCCCACTTTCCGACGTCTGGTGGGAAAGCAGAATATACAGAATCAAAGGGGCAGCGAGGTGGAGGGACAGAGGCAAAGTATTTGCCCAACTCTTCAAATCTCTCCGAGGAATCAATAGACACACAGTTCCCTTCAGCTTAAAGAATTTAGCTCCTTAGAGTGCATTCCTCAATCACTGGAGAAACATTGGAAAAAACAGCCGTCGCCTAGACCTGTGACTGGCGTGCAGCGGCCACTCAGTAAACCCTGGAGTGGCTGCGCTGAGCACTGTTCCAGGCACGGGCTGTGGCAGTGGACACAAGAGTCAAAATGCCCTGCCCATGGAGCTGGTGTGACAATGGAGGAAGCCGGGAAGGAAGAAGACAAGTCATGTGTGCTTTCTTAGATGGGGATATAAACTCGGGAGAAATCACATGGGGAAGGTGGACATGCATGGAAGGGTCCAGGCAAGAGGGTGGTGGGGAAGTCTCACTGATTATCGGGCATGTGGGTTAAGGCACAAAGGAAGGGAGAGGGGGAGCTGTGTGGACGCCCGGAAAGAGTGTTGCAGACGGAGGGAAAAGCATGTGCCAAGGCCCTGAGGTGGGTGAGCGTCTGGTGCATTCCAGGCGGCCAGCGCGGCTGCCGCTGAGTGGGCAGAGAGCACAGGTGATGAGGCCAGAGACGGTGAAGGAATGAACTTTGTTTAGGGTCCCATCTTTAAAAACTTCCAGAAGCATATTCAAAGGAAAAGATCATTCAGGTTATAAGATGATGCGACGGTGACAAAGTTGGATAAAACAGGCTACAGAATAGACAAGTAGCTGTGTTGGGGCAACAGGAACAGGGAGACGACTTAGCATCGTGGGTCTGAGACAGGTGTGCCCTTGAGTAAAGCATGTGAGAGAAGTGGCCTGAACTGCACTGGAGCAGGCTTTTTGGACCCTACGGGGATGCTGACCCTCTAGCGGAGAGAGATGCTCTGAAATCTCCTGTGGCAGCTGGACCGACACTTTAGATGAGAGACGGTGGAGTCTTTACCCTAAAACGACCTCTGATCAGATAAAAAGAAGAGAGCTCACCCTGTACACTTGGGACTGTGTCTCCTCCATGTTGTTTTATTCTTGCGTCTGTGTCAGCAGCCATTGGTCTTATAGTTCTGTTAGGAGATGAGAACGGGACGCTTGTCAACACTGAGAAAGACGAAGCCTCATTATTGAATCTGTCTTTGTATCCAGTTCTAAAACCATCTCCTCCCCCCGATTTTGTTAGGCAAAACGGCTTGAGCATATGAGGCCCACAATTATTTTGGGATCCAAACCAAATTGCCATCTCTAAGCTTCCTACGACGCTATTGTGCTGAGATGAAGAAATTGCCACCAGAGCAGATTGAGAGCTGGCTCTGACTTCGGACTTCACCCACACTCTGTCGCTGTCCCACTCTCACAGCTCAGGAGGCAGGTGAACAGGTCAATGACATCCAAGCCCCTTGCTGCTGTCACTGCGGGGGGCATCACCGTTCCTTTCTGCCCTCAGCAGTTTTCCCAGTAACCTCCATGAACTTAGAGAACATCACTTCATAAATATGTTCTTAAAATGAGCGCTTTGAGCCCTGTGAGCTTTTGTTTTTGTTTTTACCAGTGTGGAGAGTTGGCCCAGAGGACACGCCGGCCTGTGGGACATAGTTACCTTTGGAGGTGGCTTCCAAGGCACTCTGAGTCACTCACCATGCAAGTGCACCCATCCTAGAAAAAATAATTTATTATTTTTTTTAAACCTACCCTGTTTCCTGGCAGTTCTAATGCTCCTACAGGGAGAGATGTCGCAATACAAGGGGGCAAGTAGAGGAGCGAATGCTGTGCTGTGGGAAACTTGAACAGGATCTCGTCATGCCCAGGCTGCAGCCCGGGCTCCGTCTGCGTCTACAGGAAAGCATTAGCAGAGCCGTGAGAAGGGCCAGGCCCAGACAATGCCAGAGAGAGTGGCTAACCTGGGCGGACTGGGAGAAGGGCACCTTGAAACCCTGACAACTCTGGTCGGGTTCTGGTGGGAACGCTGTCTGCTGACCAGCAGCTCTCTCTTTGCTAAACCCCAGCTGTGCTGGGAACTGACCTCATTCATGAAGTAAACATTGAATCAGATACCAGCAGGCCTAACCCTGGTGGAGTGGAAATAACATGGACGTTTCCATAATTATGAAGCTGCCAATTGGATTTGGCAAGAGAAACTCTAAATATGTCGAACGGAATGAGTTCATTACCTTTGCTTGCCAACTTCATCAGAAGCCAATTGCCTTGTTGCGGTTGAAATTATTTGTATTAAAATGCTTTACTTACATTTTAGTTTTTATATTCCAAATAATGTACTGGAAAGCAGTGTAGTCTAGCAACTGGAAGATAATATTGGGAAGCCGTCGATTGGCACTCAGTCCTGGCCCAGTCTGGAGCACTGCGCGTGTGCCAGCAGTTACCGCACTTGGCCTGGGAATCCTGTTATTGGAAGACAGGGGTTTGGAGAGCAGGGTCTGTCCCATGATCCGGGCTTGGTTGTGATCTTGGGTCTCGGTGTTTGCGTCCTACCTCGTGGGTACACTCACTCACTGTCGGTTCACACAGTCCTCTGGGGTCACTCAGAGGCTGTGCACCCAGGTTACATACAGGTTGTGTGTGCCCTTTCCTTCCCTTCCCTTCCCGCCCCCTCACTTCTCCTTCCTTTTCGTTTGGGAGGTGAAAGAATTGGTTTGTTACCCCATAATCGTTGAGACCACTGTTCGCAATGCAGTTTCACAATTTGGGGAGACGTAATTTCCAATAGCTGTGCCTTTCTTATCCTCTTTTACTTGTAAGGCAGCAGGGTCTGATGCATGGAGCCAGAGTCCCCAAGTTCCAATCCCAGCTCTCCCCCTTACAAGATGGGTGACCTGGGGCAGGTTATGTAAACTCTCTTCTGTGCCTCGGTCTCATCATCTGTGAAAAATGGAGTGAAAGCACCACTTACCCCACCGGAGCATTCGCTGTGAGCAGTCCAGGCTTAGGTAATTCACGGAAGCCCTTAGAGAAGGGCCGGCACGTAGAAGAGCTAAATATTAGCCTTATGACCATTGTTAATGTCTTTATTAGTCTGAATGAGTAAGAACAGACAATATGGAATGGCCACAAACTGTACATAATTTGGTGATACATTTACAAGGTGTAAATCAACACCTACCTTCCAGGCACGGCAACGGGAAGCCCGGTGACCGGAATTATGACTGATGCACTATGTCACTCAACTGCATCAGTTACCTAATGTCTCTTTTAGTTTCTTTACCTGTTACACAGGGTTAATGTTTACTATTCCTTCCTTAGAATAGTCTTGTCTGATTTTTGATAGTGAAATAAAGAAAGGTACCATAATGTGTCATCATTTCATCTGAAGACAGTTCCGTTGATGCTTCTTTTCTTCATTCTGCCTAGAGCTGAATAACCAGAGGTTTTTCTCACAGACCCTTGGGGGCTGTTTCTTCAGCTAATAACAAGAGCAGTTGGCATTTGTCAGTCTCACAAAGACCCCCTTTCCCTTTAAACTCAGCCATTGGCCCTGTTTTCTTTCAGTGCCGTCACCGCTATGCATTAACCCTCCTCTGGGAACCCTGCGCCCTCTGTCCATGCTGGGAGGAGACATGATCAGCGAGTTGCTCTTTCGTGCTATGAAAGAAAACTGAACCAGAGGGACAGAACTGACAAGCCTCAGTGGGAGCACTAATCACTCCCGATGTCTCCGGGTACTTTGAGGAATCGTGGAGAAGCGAGACAAATGTCCTAAATTAAAAAAAAAAATGAATTGGAGAAACTGAATGCCAGTGAGTTCAGTTTTGATCATGGGCAAAATTTTAGAGCAGCTAATCGAAGGAATGGTTTGACCAGCATTTAGAAAGGGTGATGCTAAGAGCCAATATTGATTATCGAAGGAATGTCTTTCACTAGATTAGTACTCTCTCTTTTTTTTTTTTTTTTTTTTTTTTTTTTAGCTGAGCCATCCTGCTACCTGTTGGCAGCTCAGCGGCTGCTCAGCTCGGGCTGGACTCGAACCGCTGTTGCTCAGAACTCAAACTCTTGAGCGAGCTCTTAACCAACTGAGCCACTCAGCCGGCCCAGATTAGTACTTTCTTTGCCATAGTGGGATGACTTTTGACATGAGTTTGATGGTTTCTCTTGAAATCCATATCGACAAAATAGTGACAAGAAGGTGGCTAGGGCTCGAAGGGATGTTAGATAATCATGGGGCACATGTTTATTTAAGGTGATACCTCTTGCTCAAGGCCACACAGCTAATTAGTGTCAAAGCTGGAATCTGTACCTGGTCCTGTGTCCCAGCTGAAGGCTCCACCCACCTCATATTGAGGTGGAATCTTAACAGCAGATGGGACAGTGTCATTCCAAGGCATTCTCTAATGGGATGCCAAACAGTTCTGTCCTTGGCCCTAAACTTTCTAACGTTCTATCAACAACTTGGATAAAGCCAAAGATAACTGCTTATCAACTGTGCAAATAACACAAGACTGTGAGGGAAGGCCAAAATGTTGGAATTACAGAATCAGGATCCAAATTATCTCAACAGGAAAGAATGACTGGTGGACTCCAACAAGATAAAATTTAACTGGAATACATGTAAGGTCCTGCATGTAGCTCCAAAACTTGATTGCAAAAGTATAGGATGTGGTTGAAAAACATGTCCAACCTCACCCGTAATCAAAGAAATGCAAAATGAAAGCAACCTTGATATAATCAGTTTCCCCTATCAGATTGGCGATGATTAAAAGAATGAACATTTCCCAAGTTTGGTGGCTCGGGTGTGGGGAAAGAGGCTCGCTTGTAAACCACTTGCAGGCATACAAACAAAATCTCCCTTTCTGGAGGGTAATCTGGGAATATAGAGCAAAAGCTATAAAGTGTACCATTTGTCCCAGCAGTTTCATTTAGAGAAATGGATCCAAAGACAGGTGCGCAAAGGTTTGTGTACAAGGATATGCACAAGAGCGCTGTTAAAAAAGGAATACTTTTGGAGTGGGGTGTTCAGTTTGGGACTAGAAGGCTTGGCGGCCTCAGAAGGGTACCATACAGCTGTGGTCAAATACCTGGTGCTATAAAGAAGAGGGATCAGGGTCTGCATAGCTCCTGAAGGCCAGACCAGGACTTAGAAGAGATAGACATGGCCTGGTATTATAAAGCAGATTCCAGCAATTAATTCTGTCCCAAATTAGGATGGGCTGCCTTGTACATTCCCAATCACTGTCAAAGAAGATAGTCATGTTCTTTAGCCACTGGGATGAAATGTGCTTCTGGGTTCCTTCCAATGAAAAGAAGCAATGAGTCTTTGCTGCATTGAATCATCAAAGGGTAGAGTCGCCACTCAAGTTCAAGGTGGGTAGGAGGTCATACCAGGTTCCACTTCCTGACACTGAATGCTGGGAATGAAACGAGGAAACACGCCTGTCCAACACCACTCTTACTGAGAGCCTGTGGGACATGACTACCCCACTTCACCCCAAATCTTTTAGGAGTACCTGCTGTGTATCAGTTCCCCAAAGGTAAACCTAAGGGAAGCTTTTAGCTGAACCCGAAGAAAAGAAATACAGACAAGTGCTCCTTCTCACCAAATCATTTCCACTGTGTTTTGGCTCCCAGCAGACAGACATATGGGGTAAGTGTTCAACGGCTCTATTCCTCTTCTCTTTTGCATTAATTTCATCTAAAGCTTTTAGTTTTAATCATAAATCACATCTGTCTAAACTGTATTATATCCTGCACCCCCAAATACAGAGATTCAGTACTTTTGAATGTTTATCTTTAGTGTGTTCTTACATTTGCTTATCACTTCAACTTATTAAGTCCCTTCCTGGCCTCTTTTTCATCCAGTCTTCCCATCAACTGTATCAGGTGGGCATTATTAAAAACGCTCATAGTTAACCCTTTCCTGAGCCCGAACTGTAAGATACCATGTATTCTCTCAGGTAGTTTTCACCATCACACAGCTCTGGAGCTGGGGGCAGCCTTCTTCCAACCCACTGATAGTCAGTGTAACCTTTTCTGAACACATTGAGGACGGGGCATTTAAATTGTTTAAATGCATGTTCCTGGGTTTAAACCATTGAAAACAACTTTTATACTGTGTTTCTTTAAAAATTTATAACAAATTCACTATTTTTGTGAACTGAAAATTTCAGGGAATACTCACCAAAGACCCCAGTAGTGCTTGAGGGTGTGATGCCTTTGGAAACATTCCCCCTTAATGTATAGATGCAAATCTGTGTCACCGGTCCCCAATGTGGACAAGTCTTATCACATCACCAACAACAGACCTAGGTGATCTCCAAGGCCCTGCGTGGGCTGCTTACCCCAACCCCCAGGGTATCTCCTACCAAGACCCCTCACTCTGTGCTCAGGCCACATGAGCCTGTCATTTTTTCCAACTTGTCACGCTCCTTCCGGTCATAGGATTTCTACACATATTCTTCCCTCTTCCTGGAAGGTTCCCCTTGTCCCATTTCGCCTTCCTATGCATCCTTTGGATCTTAATGCTGTGAGTTGAATTGTGCTCCCCTCTCCCCGCTCTCCAATCCATGTGTTGAAGTTCTAAGCTCCAGGACCTCAGAATGTGACTGTATTTGGAGATAGGGCCTTTAACAAGATAATTATGTTAAAATGAGGCCATTAGGATGGGCTGTTATTCAATCTGACTGATGTCCTTACAAGAAGAGATTAGTACACCTGGGGAGACATCAGAGGTGCACGTGCACAGAGGGAAGACCATGTGAGGACATGGTGAGAAGGCAGCCATTTGCAAGCCAAAGAGAGAGGCCTCAGGAGAAACCAAACTTGCTGACACCTTGATCTTGGACTTCTTTTCTCCAAGACTGTGAGAAAATAAATTTCTGTTGTTCAAGCCACCTAGCCTGTGGTATTTTTTTATAGCAGCTCTTGCTGACTAATACAATTAAGAAGCCACTTTCTCAGGGGAGCGCTTTTCCACCCCTACACCCCCTTCAGCTCTAATTGCTTTTCCTCCATCACACTTATCACAATTTGTGAATAATAGTTTATTTCGATGACTACATGGCTGTTGTCTGTAATCCTTCCTCAGGATATAGGCTCCAGGGGAGTGAGGAAACGTGTGTTTTTAAGTTCTCCATTATGTCTTCAGCAATTCGCACAGGGTTTGCTGGTCACACAAGGAGGTGTTCTATATTACTGAATGTAAGGCAGAAGTATTATTTCCCTGACGTTAAAAATAAGGAAATTGAGGCTCAGGAAGGTTACACTTCCTAAAGGTCACAAAACAGCTAAATGACAAAAGGCGACTGGAACCCAAGCCCCTCAAGCTCTGGCATTTAACTACCACTTAACCCTCCAATTTCAAAATATGTCCATTCACTCAACAGATACTGATCACCCATCACGTGCCAGCTTCTATCTAGGAATTGGGGATGCAGCAAGGACAAAAGAGACAA